CACAAGCCCCCTCTGTTAGACAGGCTCCCTCGCCAAGCTGATTAAACAAAATTTCAGTGGTGCTAGGCGCGCTCCTCTGTTACACAGGCCCCCTCTGTTAGACAGGCTCCCTCGCCAAGCCGATTTAAAACATCTCAGTGGTGCTAGGCGCGCTCCACTGTTACACAAGCCCCCTCTGTTAGACAGGCTCCCTCGCCAAGCTGATTAAAAAACATCTCAGTGGTGCTAAACGCGCTCATTTTGCTAGGCGCGCCCGTCTGTTAGACAGCTCCTCTGTTACACAAGCACCTCTGTTAGGCAGACTCCCTCCCCAAACTGATTAAAAATATCCGTGATGCTAGACGCGCTTCTCTGTTACACAAACTCCCTCTGTTAGACAAGCTCCCTTGCCAAGCTGATTAAAAACATCTCAGTGGTGCTAGGCGCGCTCCTCTGTTAGACGCGCTCCTCTGTTGCACAAGCCCCCTCTGTTAGACAGGCTCCCTCGCCAAGCTGATAAAAAATCTCAGTGGTGCTAGGCGCGCTCCTCTGTTACACAGACCCCCTCTGTTAGACAGGCTCCCTCGCCAAGCCGATTTAAAAACATCTCAGTGGTGCTAGACGCGCTCCACTGTTACACAAGCCCCCTCTGTTAGACAGGCTCCCTCGCCAAGGTGATACAAAAAAACATCTCAGTGGTGCTAGACGCGATCATTGGGCTAGGCGCGCCCCTCTGTCAGACAGCTCCTCTGTTACACAAGCCCCCTCTGTTAGACAGGCTCCCTCGCCAAGCTGATTAAAAAATCTCAGTGGTGCTAGACGCGCTCCACTGACACACAAGCCACCTCTGTTAGACAGGCTCCCTCTGTTAGACAGGCTCCCTCGCCAAGCTGAATAATAATACTAATAATTATATTAAAAAAATCCGTGGTGCTAGACGCGCTCCCCTGTTGCACAAGCCCCCTGTCAGACAGGCTCCCTCGACAAGCTGATTAAGAAAAACTCGGTGGTGCCAGACGCGCGCCTCTGTTACACCTGCGCCCTCTGTTGGACAGGCCCCCTCGCCAAGCTGCAGGCTCCCTCGCCAAGCTGATCAATAAAGCCTCACTGGTGCTAGACAAGCTTCATGTTACACAAGTCCCCTCTGTTAGACAGGCTCCTGTCTGACAGAAAGGGGCTTGTGCAACAGAGGAGCGCGTCCAGTGCCACTGAGATTTTTTAAATCAGCTTGGCGAGGGGGCCTGTCTAGCAGAGGGGGCCGGTTTGACAGAGGAATCAGCTTGTCGAGGGAGCCTGTGTCTAACAGAGGGGGCTTGTGTAACAGAGGAGCGCGTCTAGCACCACTGAGATGTTCTAAATCAGCTTGCCGAGGGAGTCTGTCTAACAGAGGGGGCTTGTGCAACAGAGGAGTGCGTCTAGATCTTTTTAATCAGCTTGCCGAGAGAGCCTGTCTAACAGAGGGCGCAGGCCTAGCAGAGGAGCGCGTCTAGCACCACTGATGTTTTTTTAATCAGCTCGGCGAGGGAGCCTGTCTAACAGAGGGGGCTTGTGGAACGAAGGAGCGCGTCTAGCACCATTGAGATTTTTTAAATCGGCTTGGCGAGGGAGCCTGTCTAACAGAGGGGGTTTGTGTAATAGAGGAGTGCGTCTAGCACCACTGAGACTTTTTATATCAGCCTGGCGAGGGAGCCAGTCTAGCAGAGGGGGCTGGTTTTACAGATGAATCAGCTCGGCGACGGAGCCTGTCTAACAGAGGGGGCAGGTCTAACAGAGGCGCGCGTCTAGCACCACCGAGGTTTTTTGAAACAGCTCGGCGAGGGAGCCTGTCTAACAGAGGGGGCTTGTGCAACAGAGGAGCGCGTCTAGCCTCACTGAGATTTTTTAATCAGCTTGGCGAGGGAGCCTGTCTAACAGAGGGCGCAGGCCCAACAGAGGGCGCAGGTCTTACAGAGGAGCGCGTCTAGCACCACTGATGTTTTTGTTGAACAGCTTGGCGAGAGAGCCTGTCTAACAGAGAGGGTTTGTGGAACAGAGGAGCGCGTCTAGCACCACTGAGATTCTTTAATCAGCTTGGCGAGGGAGCCTGTCTAACAGAGGGGGTTTGTGTAACAGAGGAGCGCGTCTAGCACCACTGAGATTTTTTATATCAGCTTGGCGAGGGAGCCGGTCTAGCAGAGGGGGCTGGTTTTACACAGGAATCAGCTCGGCGACGGAGCCTGTCTAACAGAGGGGGCAGGTCTGACAGAGGCGCGCGTCTAGCACCATTGAGGATTTTTTGAATCAGCTCGGCGAGGGGGCCTGTCTAATAGAGGGGGCTTGTGTAACAGAGGAGCGCGTCTAGCCTCACTGAGATGTTTTAATCAGCTTGGCGAGGGGGCCTGTCTAACAGAGGGCGCAGGCCTAACAGAGGGCGCAGGTCTTACAGAGGAGCGCGTCTAGCACCACTGATGTTTTTTTTAAACAGATTGGCGAGGGAGCCTGTCAAACAGAGGGGGCTTGTGTAACAGTGGAGCGCGCCTACCACCACTGAGATTTGTTTCAATCAGCTTGGCGAGGGAGTCTGTCTAACAGAGGGGGCTTGTGCAACAGAGGAGCGCGTCCAGCACCACTGAGATCTTTGTAATCAGCTTGCCGAAGGAACCTGTCTAACAGAGGGCGCAGGTCTTTGTTTTAATACCACCGCGATCTTTGTTTTAAATCAGCTTTGGCGAAGGAGCCTGTCTAACAGAGGGGGCTTGTATAATAGAGGGGCGCGTCTAGCACTAGTGAGGTTTGTTCAATCAGCTTGGCGAGGGAGCCTGTCTAACAGAAGGGCGCAGGTCTAACAGAGGCGCGCGTCTAGCACCAATGAGATGTTTTAATCTGCTTGGCGAGGGAGCCTGCCTAACAGACGGGGCTTGTGTGATTCAGCGCGTCTATTACCACTGAGCTTCAGCTTGGCGAGGGAGCCTGTCTAGCAGAGGTGGCCTGTGTAACAGAGGAGCAGGTCACCAGAGCACCAGGCCACCTGACCACCAGAGCCTAGCAGAGGGGGCCTGTGTAACAGAGGAGTGCGTCTAGCACCGCCAAACCGAAGAGGGGGAAATACCGTACCAATCACAAGATTGGTACGTTATTTCCCCCTCCTCTCTGGGCTGGTCCACGTTTGCTCGTGCTTGCGTCGTTTGCCCGACGACGCCAGAGCACCAGAGCACCAGAGCACCAGAGCACCAGACCACCAGACCACCAGACCGCCAGACCGCCAGACCACCAGACCACCAGACCACCAGACCACCAGACCACCAGACCACCAGACCACCAGACCGCCAGACCGCCAGACCACCAGACCACCAGACCACCAGACCACCAGACCACCAGACCACCAGACCACCAGACCACCAGACCACCAGACCACCAGACCACCAGACCACCAGACCACCAGACCACCAGACCACCAGACCACCAGACCACCAGATTACTAGACCACCAGACCACCAGACCACCAGAGCAGAGCACCTGAGCACCAGAGTTCCAGAGCACCAGAGCACCAGAGCACCAGACCACCAGACCACTAGACCACCAGACCACCAGACCACCAGACCACCAGACCACCAGACCACCAGACCACCAGACCACCAGACCGCCAGACCGCCAGACCACCAGACCACCAGACCGCCAGACCACCAGACCACCAGACCACCAGACCACCAGACCACCAGACCCGGGGAGTCGTCAATCAGAGCGCCACCAAACAAAGGGGGGGTAATAGCGTACCAATCTTTAGTTTGGTACGCTATTTCCGCCTCCTCTTCTTCGGGAACGCACAATCCCAACCACCATGGTCGTCATAGTCCTGCTCCTCGTCATCATCCCCCCCCCTCCCCTTTCATCGCCATCACCCTTGTTCCTCAAACGCAAGCTTGGTTTCGGACTGGGTCAGGGACCGCCGTTGCTGCAGCTGAACGCAGCTCGGGAAACTGGTCAGGAGAGTGTTCACGGTGGGAAGGAGGGCCCAGGGAATTTGGAGTAGTCCAGAGTGGCATTGGGGTGGTCTTGAGAAGCCGGGAGGGGAGGAGGGGGGTTTCGTGTGCCAGTGCCGAGAGAAAGAGAGAGAGAGAGGAATGGGAGTAGGAGAGGCGGAGGATGAGAGAAATGATAGAGAAAGCAGGAGAGTAAGAAAGAGAGAGAGAGAGAGGGAGGAGGAGAGGGAGGTGGGTGGACACCACGTGTTTTCTGCAGCTGGTAGGGGCTAGCGCTAAAGCGCTTACTGTCACGATGTCATATCTCGATCTCGACGGCAGCCATAGGATGGGCGTGCTGCAACAGACTAGAAAGCGCACGCTGCCGATACAACCCGCAGTCAGCAAACGTGTGCAAATCCGAAGGGCGGGGAAATAGCGTGCCAGGAGCTAGTTTGGTACGTCATTTCCCCCCCTTCCCGTTTTGGTTGCCGTTGTTTGTTTCCTCGCGGGCCTTCCGGGGCCATCAACAAGCAACTCCGAAACATAGGAAACAACATCCAGCGCTCAGGCAACAGCACACTTCCCAATCTAGCTCGCGCCCAAAAAAGGCCCCCAAGACGCCCCCAAGAAGCCCCAAAAAGGCCCCCAAGGGGTCGGCGGTGTGGCGTAAGCCTAAGAATCTAGTTTGTGGCCAACGCTCTGGTGACAGAACCATTTCCGATTAGGGATATGGCCGGCGCTCAGGCGACAGCACCATTCGCTAGCCCTCCCCCACTCTGCACGAATCATGTGTCTGCTCATCCGCTGGCCAAGGCATCTTGGAGCCCAGGGTTGCGCGGTCTCAAGCTAGACTGGCTGGACACCCTCGCTGCTCCTCCCTCTGCTGTTCCTCCCTCTGCTGCTCCTCCCTCTGCTGCCCCCCCTCCCTCCTCCTCCTCCTCCTCCTCCTCCTCCTCCTCCTCCTCCTCCTCCTCCTCCGCCTCCTCCTGTTCGTACCCCAACTCCACCTCCTCGTCGCCTTCCCCCTCCTCGTGGGGTGGGAAAGGGGGAAAGGAAGGAGAGGAATTGGATGATGACTTTTGGCTGGGTCCCGCGGCCCTGCGCGCGTCCCCCTGCGCGCTTCTTGTCTGCAGTGGCACTGAGCTTGGCCACGACGGCCTTCTTGACCATCACGGGGCTCGCGGCCCCGTTGCGCAGCTTCGCGGTGCTCCCCAACGCGCCCCCGAGAGCCGTGCATACCACGCTGAAAAGATTCAGCAGAGCCCTCACAGACCCCAGGAAAGCGAAGTACTTCAGGTCCTTCTTGCTCCGGCCTGCGCCGCGGCCGAGCTCTGCGTCGACAATGCCGACGAGGTCGCTGCACACGTCGGCGACCCAGGCAGCGCGGCCTGGGCCCGCCTGGCCGAGGTCCTTGAAAATATCATGCGCCATCTTGACGTTCGTGGACGAGTGGGTCGACAACGGTCCGTCCAAGTGCACGAATCCCATCGACATGAGGATGTCGCACACGTGCGGCAGCATCAAGTCGCTGCGCAAGGCCTCCTCGAGCTGGCCCAAGTACACCTCCGGACCAGGGCAACGCCTGCTCTCCACGACGCTCCTCCGCGCAGGCGGCACGAGCGGCAACCGCGACCAAGGTGAAAGGGAAACCAGGGCAGAGGGCCGTCCAGGAAAGGAGGAGGCGGAATGGGAACACACGAAAGCGCAACCCATGACACCGCGCAGCCTGCGCGGGGTAGCGACACGTTCAAGAGAGGTGTTGCTCGGGCCCCGCCTTGCCGCCAGCGACGACCCGGTCGAGTCGGACCAGCAGCACCTGCATGTCCTCGGCGGACAAGGAGCTCTGGTGCCGGTTGCGGTGGGGGCCGCCGGCCTGCCGTCCGAGGAAGGCCTTGTAGCCCAAGTCGTGGAGGTAGTTCGCCCGACCGCGGATCACAGCAGCAAGGATCGTCGTCTTCCGTAGCCGCGCGGAGAAGTCCTCGACGACATCCACGGAGGTGGTGAAAGCGAGGAGGGCAGCCACCTTCACGAGCTCGTCCTCGCAAAACCCCCGCCGCCGAAGCTTGCCAACCAGCGTCGTGATGGAGGCCGTGAGCGGGTCGACCGAAAGACCCGCGCCCTCGTGGGCAACGTGGAAGCACGAATGCACCGACACAGCCTTCATCGCCTGGGCCACTGTGACGCGGCCCGTGGCCCGTGGAATGGCTATGTTGTACACTGAATCGTCGGGGTCGTGCTCCTGGAACCCCTCCCAGTGCAGGATGTGTGACCACAGGACCTGCCGAAGGCAACGCTTATTCGAAACAACCAGCCAGGCGCGCACCAGGCGCGCGAACATGGCGCACCTGGCACGCCAGGCACACAAAGCACACCAGGCAGGCGCACCCGGCGCACCAGGCACGCAAGGCACACCAGGCACACAAGGCACGTCAACCAGGCACACCAGACACACCAGGCACACCAGGCGCCCCGGGCACACCAAGCGCACCAGGCACACCAGGCGCACCAGGCACACTAGGCACACCAAGCACACCAACCAGGCGCACCAGGTACACCAGGGAAAAAAAAAAACACAATGTAAAACCAACTGTTTCAAGGTAGCGTTGCCCTCGCGAGCCTGCGCGCACCGCCTTCCGCGAAACAGGACACACCCTGCCGCGCAAAGGTGGTCCTCTGTGGCGGTGCCGCTGTCCGCCACTGCCATGGCGGCAGCACACACGTCGCGCGCCAGCTTCTCCGGTGTTCCACGCCCACGTCGCTCGTCCCTCACGGCGACCTTGCTGTGGACCCAGTTGGCCACGCAGGTCGCTGCATCATAGAAGGCCGGCCCGCGCTTGCCTTCGCTGATCACCACCCGACGCTTGTGGTTCCTCTTGTACTTCCGTGCCATTGCAGGGTGAAGAGGGTAAGAAGGATGAGGAAGATGAGGAAGACGAAGATGTGGACAAGGAAGGGGGATGGTGAGGAAGGGAGAGCGAAAACAATAAGGAAGAGGAAAACGATAAAGATGGACAGGAGGAGAAAGAGGCGGAGGAGAGGGGAAGAGGAGGAGCGACGAGTGAGGAGTGAGGAGGAGGAGCGAGAGGGAAATGAGGAAGAGGAGGTGGAGAAGGAGGAAGAGGAGACGTGAAGAGTGAGGAGGAAGAGGATGCGGAGGAGGAAGGAGTTAGAAGGAACGAGGGGGCGAAGGAGCGATAAGAAGAGTATTGGGCTGATCTTGAGGTGGAGGATGGCGGAGGCGAGGGAGAGCAGGGGATGGGCAAGGAAGAGTGGAAGAGTGAGTAAGAATGAGGAGGAGCAGGGGTGCGAGAAGGATGATGAGGAGGAGGAGCGAGAAGTAAGGAGCGGGCGGAGGAACAGAAAGACAAACGGCGAATCGGAGGAGGAGACCCAGGGCGCGAAATCGACTAGAGCCAAAGAGGCTCGAGTCAGAGTCTCCCTCAGAATTGTTACGCTAGGGCCACAGGCAAACCGATGAGCAGCAGCAGCAAGAGGAGAACGATGATGGGGCGAATGAGGAGGACGAAGGGGAGTTGCGCAGGAACAAGCTTAAACAAACGTTGTAGCAAAGAAAAGGAAATACCATGATCAACAGACGAAGGAGCAATGAGGAGGGATGAGGAAGAAGGATCGGCAAGATGACACCAGCAAGGTGAGTCACCAAAGAAGTCCCGTCCCCCTCCTCCTCCACACCCTCCTTTGCCCCTGTCTCTCTCAGCCCCCTCCTCCTCCTCGTCCCTGGCCTCTCTCTCTCTCTTCCCCTCCCCGCCCTCCTGATCCTTATCATCCTCATTGTGCTCGTCCTTCTGCTCCTCCTGCTGTATCTCCTCCTCCTCCCCCTCCTTCTTATCCTCCACCTCCACCACCTCCTCCTCCTCGTCCTCATCCCTGTCTCCAACTCCTCATCCACATCCTCTCTCTCTCTCTCTCTCTACCCGCCTCCTCTTCCTGCTCCCCTCATTGTCTGGTCCTCCTCATCCGTGCCTCCTCCTGCTCCCTCTCCGACTTACCTCATCATTGTCATCTCCTCCGTCTCGTCCTGATCATGCTCCTCATCACCTGCTCCTACACGTGCTCCTGCTGCTGCAAGTGCTGTTGCTACCGCCGCTGTCTCTGATGCTGGCGCAGCTACCACTGACAAGGGCCAAGGGGGAGGAGGAGGAGGAGGAGGAGGAGGAGGAGGAGGAGGAGGAGGAGGAGGAGGAGGAGGAGGAGGGAGGAGGAGAGAGGAGGGAGGAGGAGAGAGGAGGGAGGTGTCAGTTTCCTTCGAAAAGTGCCCAAGAGCACTGCCCACGGGAGTCTGTTGGCACACACACACACACACAAATAACAAGATTCCCCATATTTCCCATGTTTTGGGGATTCTCGTCTTCGCCCCCACTTCCCCTACTTTCCCATACTTTCCTGGGGATCGACGATTCATTGTGTCTCTGTGTGTTTCTTCCCCCTCCTGCAAGTCCAGCCGCGCAGGCCGGTGCTGAAAAGACAGCTGCGGGCCCGCACCGGGGGGCCAATCCTGCGACGGGCCACCCATGCGAGTAGTATTAAGTCGGGCATGTCCCCCCACAGGGGGATTTTCGACGAAAAATAAAAAAATACCCCAATATTCTTCGGTGGCGCCCCCGGGCCACGAAACGAGTGAGGGGTGTGCCGAAATGGGGGGGTGGAACCGCATGCGAGCGCAGCCACTGGGGCGCTCGGTGGAGCTCCCTATGGAGCCACGAAACGTGTGAGGGGTGTGCCAGAATGGGGGGTGGAACCGCATGCGGGCGCAGCGACTGGGGCCTTCGGTGGAGCTCCCTATGGGGCCACGAAACGTGTGAGGGGTATGCCAGAATGGGGGGTGGAACCGCATGCGGGCGCAGCCACTGGGGCCTTCGGTGGAGCTCCCTATGGGGCCACGAAACGTGTGAGGGGTGTGCCAGAATGGGGGTGGAACCGCATGCGGGCGCAGCCACTGGGGCCTTCGGTGGAGCTCCCTATGGGGCCACGAAACGTGTGAGGGGTGTGCCAGAATGGGGGGTGGAACCGCATGCGGGCGCAGCCACTGGGGCCTTCGGTGGAGCTCCCTATGGGGCCACGAAACGTGTGAGGGGTGTGCCAGAATGGGGGGTGGAACCGCATGCGGGCGCAGCCACTGGGGCCTTCGGTGGAGCTCCCTATGGGGCCACGAAACGTGTGAGGGGTGTGCCAGAATGGGGGGTGGAACCGCATGCGGGCGCAGCCACTGGGGCCTTCGGTGGAGCTCCCTATGGGGCCACGAAACGTGTGAGGGGTGTGCCAGAATGGGGGGTGGAACCGCATGCGGGCGCAGCCACTGGGGCCTTCGGTGGAATGGGGCCGCGTGTGAGGGGTGCCAGAATGGGGGGTGGAACCGCATGCGGGCGCAGCCACTGGGGCCTTCGGTGGAGCTCCCTATGGGGCCACGAAACGTGTGAGGGGTGTGCCAGAATGGGGGGTGGAACCGCATGCGGGCGCAGCCACTGGGGCCTTCGGTGGAGCTCCCTATGGGGCCACGAAACGTGTGAGGGGTGTGCCAGAATGGGGGGTGGAACCGCATGCGGGCGCAGCCACTGGGGCCTTCGGTGGAGCTCCCTATGGGGCCACGAAACGTGTGAGGGGTGTGCCAGAATGGGGGGTGGAACCGCATGCGGGCGCAGCCACTGGGGCCTTCGGTGGAGCTCCCTATGGGGCCACGAAACGTGTGAGGGGTGTGCCAGAATGGGGGGTGGAACCGCATGCGGGCGCAGCCACTGGGGCCTTCGGTGGAGCTCCCTATGGGGCCACGAAACGTGTGAGGGGTGTGCCAGAATGGGGGGTGGAACCGCATGCGGGCGCAGCCACTGGGGCCTTCGGTGGAGCTCCCTATGGGGCCACGAAACGTGTGAGGGTGTGCCAGAATGGGGGGTGGAACCGCATGCGGGCGCAGCCACTGGGGCCTTCGGTGGAGCTCCCTATGGGGCCACGAAACGTGTGAGGGGTGTGCCAGAATGGGGGGTGGAACCGCATGCGGGCGCAGCCACTGGGGCCTTCGGTGGAGCTCCCTATGGGGCCACGAAACGTGTGAGGGGTGTGCCAGAATGGGGGGTGGAACCGCATGCGGGCGCAGCCACTGGGGCCTTCGGTGGAGCTCCCTATGGGGCCACGAAACGTGTGAGGGGTGTGCCAGAATGGGGGTGGATGGGGGCCTTCGTGGAACTCCTATGCCACGAAACGTGTGAGGGGTGTGCCAGAATGGGGGGTGGAACCGCATGCGGGCGCAGCTGGGGCCTTCGGTGGAGCTCCCTATGGGGCAACGAAACGTGTGAGGGGTGTGCCAGAAGGGAGGGGGAGGAGGGAGGAGGAAGGAGGGGAGGAGGAGGAGAGGAGGAGGAGAACGCGGGGCGACGTCTCTTCAAAACGAGGACCCAACACCACAGGATGGTTGGGAAACATAATCCAAAATTATCCTGGCGAAGGGCCCAACCATACGCAATTCCAAATGCCGCCGTTGTAAGTATCGTCGTTGGTGGAACACCCGATGGGGCCACGAAGCGTGTGAGAGGTGCGCCAAATGGAGGTGGAACTGCATGCGGACCCTGCCACTGGGGCCTTCGGTGGAGCACCCTGTGGGGCCGCGAAACGTGTGAGGGGTGCGCCGAAATGGAGGTGGAACTGCATGCGGACCCTGCCATTGGCGCCCTCGGTGGAGCTCCCTATGGGGCCGCGAAACGTGTGAGGGGTGCGCCGAAATGGAGGTGGAACGCATGCGGACCCTGCACTTGGGCCTTAGGCGGAGCTCTCTATGGGGCCACGAAACGTGTGAGGGGTGTGCCGAAATGGAGGTGGAACTGCATGCGGACCGTGCCACTTGGGCCTTAGGCGGGGCTCCCTATGACGCCACGAAACGTGTGAGGGGTGCGCCGAAACTGCATGCGGACCCTGCCACTTAGGCCTTAGGCGGAGCTCCATATGGGGCCACGAAACGTGTGAGGGGTGCGCCGAAATGGAGGTGGAACTGCATGCGGACCCTGCCACTGGGGCCTCAGGTGGAGCCCCCTATGGGGCCACGAAGCGTGTGAGGGGTGCGCCGAAATGGAGGTGGAACCGCATGCGGACCCTGACACTTGGGCCTTCCGGTGGAGCTCCCTATGGGGCCACGAAGCGTGGAGGGGTGCGCCGAAATGGAGGTGGAACCGCATGCGGACCCCTGACACTTTGTCCTTCGTGGAGCCCCTATGGGCGACGAAACTGGGTAGGGGTGCGCCCGAAATGGAGGTGGAACCGCATGCGGACCCCAGACACTTGGGCCTTCGGTGAGCTCCCTATGGGCCACGAACCGTGTGAGGGTGTGCGCCGAAATGGAGGAGGAACCGCATGCGGACCCATGACACTGGGGGTCCTTCGGTGTAACTCCCCATGGGGCCACGAAAACGTGGGTGAGGGGTGCGCCGAAATGGAGGTGGAAAAACCGCAATGCGACCCTGACACTTGGCCTTCGGTGGATCTCCCTAATGTCTATGGGGCCTCGAAACGTGTGAGGGGTGCGCCGAAATGGAGGTGGAACTGCATGCGGACCCTGACACTTGGGCCTTCGGTGGAGCTCCCTATGGGGCCACGAAACGTGTGAGGGTGCGCCGAAATGGAGGTGGAACCGCATGCGGACCCTGACACTTGGGCCTTCGGTGGAGCTCCCTATGGGGCCACGAAACGTGTGAGGGGTGCGCCGAAATGGAGGTGGAACCGCATGCGGACCTTGCCACTGGGGCCTTCGGTGGAGCTCACTATGGGTCCACGAAACGTGTGGCCATGATGGAGACGGCGATGATGATGACGACGATGGTGATAAGAACGATGATGATGATGATGCTGATGATGACGGTGACGATGACGATGATGATGATGCTGATGGTGAGAGGAGGAGGAGGAGGAGGAGGAGGAGGAGGAGGAGGAGGAGGAGGAGGAGGGGGAGGAGGAGGAGAGGAGGAGAGACGCGGGGCACCGTCTCTTCAAAACGAGGACCCAACACCACAGGATGGTTGGGAAATAGTCTAGGAACTATTTGTGGATTAGTTTTTGGCCTTTGTGGTGTATTTTGGGGGTATGTTTGATTTTT